ATAATTTACCATAGCAGTTTGCGAGTGCATCTACCTTTCGTGATTTACGCGTGACACATTTCGATATCTGAGTGGCTGCATCTTATAATAATTCGTCTCGACTGAATCGACGGAAGAAACAAAACAAATTTTTCTGAGGGGTTCAAAATAAATTTCCGGAACAGTAGTCTACTGTCGCCTTAGAATTACTTATTTTAAAATGTCTAGTTAGTTATTGGTGTAAGAAAGTTACTAGTTCTAATATATGCTATCGGTTTTAGTGTCCTGTGCATCAAGTGACTGTTGATGATGTTAACTGAGCAATTTTCCTTTGATAGGGACCAGGAAGTGGAACGATTAGCAGGCAGACTCCGAGTTACCGCCTGAGAGCACCATGTTGATTTCTTTGTGAAATTTAATTGTTTCCGTGATAAAAGCATATTTTATGCAGTTGCTGTTCCGACTCGTGTCTTAAACTTCACTTGTCTGCAATTAATTGAATGAGGTATTCGCAGTTCTCACGGACATTTTCGCTAACAGCGGTCGAAGTAAGGGTAGGCCTTAATTCGAATTTATTTAAAATATTGTTAGTAAATACTTTTGGATGCCTGTGAAGTACGGACAGCTCGAATTTACCCTCTATAAAAGTACAGTGGATATGCGACAAACATAAGTTGCTATAGGATAACGCTTAAGCATTACAATAGACTGGCATTGCATTTAAACGAGGCCAAAAAATACATCGTTATGGGCTTGATGTAAAGGTTTGCGTAAAGTTTTCATGACCTCTACTTGCTTCTACACAATGAGTAGTGCTTGCTTGAATTAAAAACGCGCTCTGTGGGAAGACCAGTTACGAGAGACGTTGATTACGAGTCAACTTGCACTTCGAAGTACATCGTTTCAGAATTTAGTGGCAAAATGACTCAAATAGAAACTTCAGTTGGAGGCCAATAAGTCAGCGCTCTTTCAGCAGGGGCGAATCAGAGTTTTTCTATCAGTTAGTTCGTTCGTTTACTTAGCGGGTAATTAGAGTTTAGCTTGATCGGGCAAAAATACTTGTAACTACTCACGACAAGTTAACATCTATGCACTTCGCTTAAAAATGTGTCTGTGAGAGTGCAGACTTTGTAGTAAGAGTCAATCATACATTACAGGCGAAACAAGCTTCATTTTACTTCTTTTAGGTACGTGATCGCAAATTAGCCATGCTTCGTATCGATGCACACCCAAAACAGCATGCCTTGAAGTTTTGTGGGACTACCATGTCTCTTAACTTCTTCTGGGTCGAAATACGTTGAAAGTAGCAAGGGCAGTAATATTTGGCAGAGACTTTTCAGTGGCAGATCGTTCGCTAAGCAGCAGTTACCAGATGATTGTTTTTCCATGCACCTTAAGAGCTGTGAAAAAAAACAAGTAAGGTATGAGAAGTTGAGTTGTTGGGAAAATTAAATAGTGTCCAGCACTGCATTGAAATATATAGCGATATAAAAACACACGTGATCAGACAAACTCAATAAGGCCGTGTTTAACGCTTCAGAAGTTTCTGTGCTTTGCGACCTGAGAACGTTTTATGGCCTGTTAAGGATCTCGATTATTCTATAGCACACGTCTGTTATGAAAGAATATACTACTCATGACCGAACTACTTAACTTATGGCGTAACCAGTATGATGATTACTGATGTATGCCCTCTCCTTACTTTAGGCTAAAAATATGCTTTGGTAGTCTTAAAAAATTTTCAAACGTTCGCGCTACGCACCATTTCAGATAGTACTAGAACATTTAGCTGTCCAGATCAGTGTTGTGCCAAACGTTCTAGAATTTTTAAAAGTTAGAGAAGCAATTCAAAAGCCTATCAGAGAAATCGTGCCAGTCACTAGACAACAACGACACAAAGATGGCGAGTTCGCGTCGTCTGGCAGTCGAATCATTGGAATGAAAACATTAATTAACGGTAGATACGATTTTGTTTTCTGGCTACATTTTACTTCTTTTAGGTAGAATTCGAATTGAAGTTCGTTTAACCATTGAGCGGTACTAAGGATTGGTTTAGATGGTGATTTCGGCACGCTTAGTCTAGAATGACTACGGACGTGAAAATTTCTGGTAGACGCAGTCCACGCTATTTTAATCGGAGAGGACCTGAACCACCAAAACGTTCCGTTCGGTAATAACGTGAAGACCCCAGTAACTCGACATCGTGTTATGACACCTGTCTAGAAAGTATGATGCGCCCGACAACAACGACATATATGACCCGACAGTCACCATTTATCAAATAGTTCCTGTACGGATGATGCAAATAACCGTCCCGATTGGTTTATATAGAAGCAATAGGAGTGCCTTGTTGGTGCATAACGAGCACAAAGCACGTGTTCTAATAGCTTGTACGTGCAGCTAGTATCAACAAATTGTTATTTCAAATTGTGTTTGCAGGCCCATCTATTCAGACATGCACTGCTTACATAGCTATCCACAGTCCAAAAATGATAACACTCACAATATGTAGTGGGCTGTTGAGGCAGTTGGCTTTTACCTATGTCGGAGAAGAAGCTGTACAAAACATATTGAATATAAGTTATTCATTTTGACAACGCATGAACACTCGAAGATATCTCCCGACGATTCTCTGCTATAGCTTCCCTAAAGATCCTCCCTGTCCATCATAGCTTTGATTGGGAAACCATAGCTTTATGCTCATTTACCGTCCCTGCTCTTGTCTTGACGGCCGCGGCAAGCTTGACCTTTGAGTGATTCACGCAGCGAATATATCGGACCATCGCTGACCAAATGCAGTACCAATGAGAAGAGAGAGCCCGCGCTGTGGCGTCACTCCAGCCCCTTTTAGCGCCCAGTTGTTTTCTCGACCCTCGAAAATTACGTGCCCTCAGCTAGAGACACCACGGTGCAACCGTGGACATGCTACCTCGTTAAACACGCTCGTTCAGCACAGACAAATGACAGTTGTAATAGGTACCGCACAAAAAACAGCCGTGTATTTTTTATCATATATAAATTACTCGTTACAATTGAGCTATAAAAGAAAGAGAAAAGTGTCATCCAACCTATCCTGGTTGGCACTGAACTATTAGGTATTGCATACCAATCGTTCTTTTGAATCAATAAAAGCGCTATGAAGAATAACATGTAAAAGGCCAGCTAAGAAAGCCATGGAACTTTATCAAAGCAGCAGTATCTTAATTTCCAATAAATACCTTTGCCTATAGGTTATGACAGATCATCACAGGGATATCGTGTTTGTTTTATTAGGGACATAATTATCGGTTCTTTTCTATCTGGAATTAGTTGTTATTGGCTGTATAGTTGAAATGTTAGAAGAGGCAGCGACCGGCAGACAAAGACGATTTATAGCACCGTGAAGCCTTTCTATTCTCGAGTTGCTTAGATATGCAGTTGAGATATATCTACTGCAGTACGTTTGGTCCAGGTGAGGTTAGGTAAAAATGTGAACGCTTGAAGTAAGTACGAAGAGTTAAGAATCCGTTTGAGCCAAGAAGACCGATCATTAAGTAACTTACAATGATTACTTATGAATATATTATGAAACAACATTGTCTTGTGTTAATGTACTACGAAATGTCGTATGGACGAAATGAAAACGTAGTGAGCCTATCGGCTCCGGCCACCTCTACGCCGTCATTCCCTTTGCAGTTGTGAACAAAACGTGACGTTTACGTATTGATGTCTGCATATAGAATGCTCTCTAAATGAGCTGAAGAAACAGACCAGCTTGATTTACGCCGCATCTAAAAGTAACCGAATCTGCACTTGTTCTGTATTTCCTCATCGAGGATCGTTCGGAACAATATAGAAGCAGCGGGCATTTTGTGAAGATTAATATTAAACTGTAGGGTACGAAGCATCTACAGCAGCTGATGCTGCTCTAATTCTCGAATTCGTATAGACAGCGAAAGCAATTTCAGGCGAAATTCTAACTCCTAAACGATTTACCAAGATCACTGGGGAAATGATCGCATCGTTTGACTATATTAGTTAGCTTCTTTGTGAGAGCGTATAACCGTACAGCTTTAAGAAAAAATAGTTGGCTAGACAGTACGTAAACACCGTATAATTTCAAGCATTCCCTTTCAGAATTGGAGGTATCATTGATTTCAACTCGAAAAGACCCATCGAATAGCTTCCGATCATGTTCATAAAGCTATAATCAATCCCCAGCTCAATAAACGTCACAATTAACAAGCCGTAACGAACTCGATATGAAGCCTTAAGGAAACCGACGTCGATTCAGTATAATTCCCTGCAATGATTTTTATATGCTGGCTTAGATTATGTCTTGCTTGTAGTTTACCCTTCACGAACTCATGTTGGGTAATGTTACAATACCACGTCTCGATATTCAGTAAGTCAAACGTGACCAACTATGGTTTTTTTCAACTAGACAGGGAATAGACTCTTGCGCTACTGAGCGCTAATTCTCTCCAGAAGATCTAATACCTTTCTTGTGCACTGACGAAGCCATTGAAAGAGGCCAGGAAAGAGGCGACCTTCATGGGATAGAGTCATCTGAATTGTACCGTTTATTCAATGATTTCATGTTCAGTATGCCATAGTCGATTTCGTTAAATCTACTGTAATCGACCATGCGACCTCTACAAAAACTGTGATCGGAACAGAATCGGCAAAATGTAAATCTGACAGTAAATTGACAGAAATCAAAAAGTAGAAAGACAGCCTCAATTAAAATTACCCAAATTATAGGGGTTAGAAATTTGCGTTTCTTAAATTTGAGTTATTAATACATTTTTAAAGAAGAATAAAAAAGAATTCAAGAAAATCAAAACAAGTTGTCGCGTAAAAAAACAGCCTAGAATATTTCAATTAAAAAAAAAAAAAAAATGAAGAATCAATACGTATCGAGGCTACAAGTATTCTTTGTGTGCTTTTTTCCAGATATCTATTGGTTTACTTATTTCGGTCAAACGATGTATGGCTGATATATACTGATGTGTTGTATTCGTATGTTTTATAACTTCCAGGAAACCCCGCCTTGTTTAGTATAAGCGAGGTGTAGAAACGTTGTCTTCGTCTCAGTATGTTCAGGAAACCCGTAACGTCCATTAGACCCCCGGACACGCAGTCATCAGGCGAAATAGAAGGTGGCGAAGAAAACGGTTCAACCAAAATAACGCGTCCCCAGCCAGCCGTCGTTTCTACTATCAATACAGCGGTTTCTAGAGTAAACGGCACCGCCATTTACTCAAATACAATCGACAACGACGAAAGAATCGAAGATATTTACGCGTCAATTCCGGTGACCAATATAACCACCGATACAGGTAAAGAACAAAGGAACCTATTTACTTAATGCATTTCGTTCTCGCTTAGTACGTAAGTTGTTACGTGCGTAATTCTATTGGTAATAAGCAGCTTTGAAGCGGCAATACGTTGATCCGGTCTGCTAGTATGTTACATGATCGGCAAAACGGTGGGTGGCTTCTAAGTTGGAAGCCACCCGCTGCTTCTTAATGCCTTTAAAAAGTTATTTATTCCGGTTGCCCCTACGTCGTGGTGTTGTTTAGAATGCGGACAAACGCAGCAGGAGTTCCTTGGACAGTCCTTGAAACCATCCATACAGACGCTCACTTTTCCAGCAATTAGTAGAATAGAACGATGCAATCACGCTCGAATGTATAAAATTCGATTTCGGGGATGATTTCGTGCCCAGCACGGTATCGTTCATATTTTCTAGAAATTGACCATGGCTGTACGGTTCGAAATTGACAAGAGCAGTTTGCTTTCTATGTATGGCTGTTACAGTTCTAATCTTAAATAGTAGTATTAAATTATATATCTATTTCTTTGTGTATCCATCAATCGATAAGTGTAAAGCTTACACAAAGCACATGTTCCACAGCTGAACTGAACATAATGACTGTGACATCTGTGCCTGAAGTCTGAGCATCCGGTTCGGGTGTCGCTACCTACGAACCGGCGAACTCGTCCTAAACATATGAATAGGCTATACGACAATACAGGGTAAATGCACAGTATACGAGGGTCATGGTAGGCAGTATTTTTCGAGAGAATGAACGCGTCACCTCATCTATTTGTCATTTATGACTATTTTTATTCAAACACTGTGCGGCAGAGTCAGACCTATGTTTCTGTGCATACCTAACCACATGTTTATTTGTCAGTTCGTAACGCTCGCATTGTTAAATCGCGCGACAAGGACACTAACAGGGTTAGCTTGCTAAATCAGTTTCATAAGCTACACTTTCTCCTCCAACCACGTAATAATTAGTGACAGCAGAACGAAGTCCACTTAGGGATGAAGTGTTCGCTAATCGGAGCGCATCATAACAATGGTTTTATCATTTTATAATCCTCCTTCTATTGAGTGCGACAAAAAGCCTTTTTAATAGTTGGCTTTTAGCTGCCTCTTTTGACAGGTAGCGGCACCGCTGTTTAGCACTATTTCAAAAAGCCGAAATGGGGAGTGGGGCTCGATCTAGAGGAGTTAAATAGGAAAATAGACGACTGTAATATATTCATTGTCCTTCCAATTACTGATTGGACTTTACTGCATGACCAGAGTATGCCTCTCACGCCTAAATTTCAATTTACACCATTCTCCTGTGTTCCTTATGCTAGTAAGAAAACCCGTTAGCATCGCGTCGTTGCAGGGTCGATTTGGAAATGTTACAAGAGTGAAAACAAAATAAATAGAGCAAGCGGTAAGGGATAAGCTCCGCATATATCGATCTGTGTATCATTACCAGAACATGTTAACTGTAAAGCACTGCAACACAAACGGAGATATAGTGACTTCCAACAACCTGATGGCCTGCGTACCTTTTTCTGGGCGTCGTAGTTAAGAGCTGATATTTTTCCCTGGCACAGGGGCTTCGTCCTGAAAACGAACAGGCCAGAACGATGGTTCGGATTTCTGCAGTTAAAGAGTTTCATTTTGAACGTTGAGCTTTTTTTTCTCTTGCAAAATTGCAACGTTTCTACGGATTAGGAGAAAAACCGGACACGTTCTAAGGTAAGGGACAAAAAAAGGACAAGGGTTCTTAGGTAATCTGCTTATACACCAAATACATAGTTCTTTAAATTTCGAATTATTTACTTAGTGCGAATAAAAGGCTATTTTTAAAGAGGAACTACCCAATTCTGGTCTGGCTAATCTATGAAGGACACAAACTGTCCGGTACAACGACTATATGAATTTATAGGAGTCACGAGAAGTTTGGCTGTCACCGTGTAATAGAGAACTCCTTCGGGAATCACAGTTTATGATCAGCAGCCTCCTAAACGGCTAACTAAACATTTCTATCTATTACCATTCTCGTGATCGGACGAGCCATATACTATGTTATTTTTCCAAAAGCTCAGAATTTAGCTTTTAGTTTCCAACAGTTTTTTTTTTTTAATTCTTTGGCTCGTGATTGTAGCCTAGGTATAATGCAGACGTCATGTTCGCGAAGTTACACAAGAAATGCTTTATATATTTCAAATAAGTCGACTTCACGCTTGAGGTAGCGAAATATCTATAACATATTCCAACGAAATAAGATATCATACTATAATTTCGTTTGGCCCTTAATTGGTTTCGGTAATTTTGCCAAAAGAAAGCGCGACTCAAGACAGCTCTTAGAAAGACACAAAGTGAATACGTTTTCAACAGGCACATTACGTTCAGGGCCAACGTCCTTAGATATACAATACAAATTTGCGGTTGTATTCTTCTAGAAATTAGCTTCTCGATGCAGTTTACTCCGTGCTTGGATCCCTTTAGGTGTCGAAATGCTCTGAGCAAAAATGTCCAACTGGCTACCTTCCGACAAACTCCAGAAGGGCTAAACATTACGAAAATATAACGCCTCAGCCGCTTTGTTGTTGAAATCGTGTTGAAATGCTCTCATATTTGAAACAAAGCCTTCCATCAGACAGAATTTCAAACGCATTGAAGCAAGGGAATCCGCAAACGTGTTACAGGAACACTGTGGCCGGTTAATTTGTAGAATTATTTAAGAATAGATTAACTAGAAATAAATGTCTTTGTTCTTTTTTTTTAACACCCCAGTCTCTCTTCCTATACGCACAAGTCCTCGAAATCACTCCTCTCTTCGGATATAGTAGCAGGGACTTGATCCGATTAGGAGTCTAACCGTGGTGGGCTTTGCTGGATTTATCTGGGTTTTTTCAACAGGCCTAGGAAATGAAAGCAATTCTACAAGCAGCTTTTAATATTAATAATAGTTCATTATTCTCCAAAATTCCTTATTGTTTGTTATTAACTATTATTAATTCCTAGTAATAATTTTTGCGCTGAGATTTGAATCAGCATGACAGTATGGTTGTTATTTACGGTTACGATTGTAACGTACTCAAAGGGATGTTTATTAGCCAGCCATAGCACGCTGCCTCTGACAGACATTCGTTGCACACAGCTCTCACCATTGTACTACACATTCAATATTCGAACACACAGGAAGTTAGAGAGGATTGGGGAAGTGTTCATTTGAAATTCGCAATTGGGTACCAGTCGAAACACACTGCTTTACTGAACTGGAAGTTGCAAAATACTAAACACAATTAATCGTTTGAATTTACACTTTTCAGGCAGAAGCCGCCTACAAACGTGCGTCATTTCTGCAGGAGGAACTAAGAGCGGACCTCTACCAGAAGCTCCGTTAGAGCTTCTCGCTGAGATCCAACGAGAATTGCCCGTCTATTTTCGAAATCACGATAGTGAAAAGCACTACGGCGTATTCGCGAGACAAAACTCGGAACAGTTCAGGGACACCGACTCGATCAGGAAAGTAACTGAAATCAGTAGAGCTCGTCATATTCATACATCATATTGTTGCCTTTTATTAATTTCGTCTAGTTGAAATGCGCCCGATCACGATAATGATTATTATTATTTTACGTATAGAAGTCTATTGTGCAAGATCTAATCAGCCCGAGCTGCCCGAACTAAACGTGACTGGATCACTCCATCAATGGCTGGATAATAGTGCCCTGGCATGGGAACTGATGATGGCGACCAGTTTTTGTAATAACAATAATCCAATAACTAACTACGATGATGAATTTTCAGATTTATGAAACAGCATCGGCTGTCGTGGTGGTGTAGTCCAGTTAACTCATCAGATAATTCCGTAATGGCTGATGAAAGCCCGGACCAATTTCGCGAAACGTCACAGGATATCTACGAAGTTGTGGCAGAAAATCACCGGGATAACAACTACGAAACTGCAAGAAAATGCCAAACAGAGCAGACTGATGAGAGTCTATCCAAAAACATCGATGATGCGAAGAAGAACCCTCACGACTATGAAGTTATTCCCGAAGATTTTTTTCTTAAGCAACGCGAGCTAAGAGGTAATTGTAAGCCTGCGTCCCGAGGCTGTTCATTTGCCTGGATACCTAAGGCGCCTTGCAGAATTACGGGTCTTCTTAACAGAAGGCACCGTAACGATAGTTTGAACTACCTCGTGCATTTATATCCTAAGACGAATTAACTTGAGCCCTTGTCGTCTTTGTTTGCAATGAGAACCGTTTCCGCCAGAACTGAAAAGCTACAACCTTTAATCTTGAATCACAGTGTAAAAACTTACATCAAATAATACACACATTATGTAACTTGTACACACACTTTCTAGGGTCTAATCTAAATTCCGCACAACATGAAGAGTGTAGCTTTCTAGAGGTCTTCGGAATATCTCTTCGGAATTATAACATTAAATCAAAAAAAAAGGAGTTCATTTTCTGATTACGTATAATAAGCAAAGTATGTAGTCGTTAAATGAAGCCTAACAACCATTTTAGTAGAGCTACTACATTCTTCCAAGGTATAGTAGCTTACAATTTCAGCTAACTTGAGTAGATCATCTCCAGTATCAATGTTGCAGTTATTGCCAATAATGGCTAGAAAATGTTCGCCTGACAATAATCTTCGTGGCGGTTATTTAGAATTTTGTCTGATTTAATACCGTAAACACTGGTGAACTTCAATATGTATAGAAATTGATTTTTTTCGCATAACTTTTCTAATCCTACCGCTGAAGTAATACAGTGCTTTGAGTCACGTTTATCATAGTTCTTTTCATTCAACTGAGTTTCTTTACCGATCGACCTTTTATCTATCACCTAACTCTATCTGCTTGCTCAGAACCTATTTTATGTATGCATGCATAGATAGGATAAACATTTTATGCCGAAATCATATACACCGTAGGACGTTACCGTTGCAATAACGGAGGTGGAAAGCTTTCTGTGTTTGCTATTGTCAAATTTCACGCTACGGGGTCCTCGATCCATTGTCGTTGCTAGATACCTTCCCGTTGTTATCTCTCTCCCAATTTTCCCGGTTTCAGCCACAGTCTTGATCGTTCCCTTCTTAGAGGGGCAACGTTTTTACGCATTCGATAGTCGACTTCCATAAAATAGCCTTCTTAACTACTTTTCTCTCTATTTTCTAAATTCTCGAATCTATTATCTAGTATTATTAGTAATAAAACGTGGTTAGGAGCTACGAAACAAAGTTTTCAAGTTAGTTGCCTTTGTCTCACGTTGTGCTCAAGTGAGTAAGTAAGTAACGAGCCAACTCTAGCCTAACAATGACGACTTCTGAAAAATTATCCACTGGTGAATTGATATGGTAGTGAATTACTGTTTGTTTAGTATGAGCTACTATGAAAAAAACAATGTACATTGTCTAAATATAACATTCCGGTGGGCTTTGTGTACTTCCTTTATAGGACCCAGTTGTTTTATTCGATCTTGGAGTGATATGATATAATTCTTTTTATGGCGAGGGGATACGTTAACAGTGAAACGTACGTGGAGAAACCTAAGGACAAATATCGTGCCGCCATTACAGAAAAACGAGCAGACAGATGTAGGTACGAGTGGCCCAAAATTGAGCGCCTTCGGACCAGATGGCCATCCTTGTACCCATATTACGGAGTTCGACCTGGTGTGAAGCTGGCCTTTTCATGTCCGATTTACATTGACACGACTGTTGCTTTGTGCTTATTTAGCTTTTGTTTCGTAAACGTATTTCTCGAATACACGTAATTGTTTAGCAAGCGTTAGCTGTTGCACTTTTTATCATCGGATTGATCAAGCGACACTTTATACTCTGCTAATGTTGCTTTTGCCTTCACACCGGCTCGCTAGCGAGGCTGGCGTAAGATGCATTTGTGTCATACTAGAATGTCAGAAAAATTGATTTTTATTGACTGATTTTATACTGTATTTCTAGCTTAAGCTAAAACGATGCGTCTTTGTACAGCCAAATCTGAGTTGTCAGATACTATAATTTCTTTCTGCAGTTCGTCGTCAGTATATGCTAGCGCGCTAGCTTAAAATGGTGACCACAGCCAGTTTCTCATAACCGTCCCTATTTATTCTGTTTCTGGAAACCAATTAAACCTTCTAGTGTATTTTACACCGAAAAGATTAGAAGCAGGTAATAATTCAGGCGAAAATATATAATAATAATAATAATATAGCCCCAAACGCTAAGCAAAGCCATTGAATGATATTACCAGCGCTTATTGCTACCGTTGCCACTGACACCTTGCTCGACACATGAGTCATCATTCTTGCGGTTGACTTATTTTCATTGTTCTAGAATCGAGTATTCTAGCTTCCACCTCGTCAACTATTCTTTGCTATTTTAAAATAACCTCTAGTGACCTAATCTAAAGTTCCGACATTATTTGTGCGTGTGGAATAAAGTTAAAATAATATATAAGTTTCGGCCAACAGGCACGGTTCTCGAAGCCAAGGCCCGCTTTCATTTGTCAATCGGAGACACTGTAGTGTAACATCTGGATATCGTTGGCCAATCTGACTCATACGAGTTTTCTAATAACAGTTAGATTGGTTCATTGGAGAAAGTGTTCGCTGCGGGTTCGAAAATGGTACATTTCAATTGCATTAATAAGGTGACGTCAGGCGTCGTCATATCGCCTCAATATTGGCTTTTTCTGAACTTTCTTAGAAAGTAAACACCGAGAACCCAGACGGATACTTTCTACATCTTATACCAAGGTTTGCCGTCTAAATATCATACGACGCACTCGACTGTATCTTTCAGATTTCAGATCCGCAGCTGTTCCAGCCGCTCGTTCCAGTGCTCCCAAAACATTTGCCCCTGTTGCGAGCGTATCGTCAACGAATCCCTTTCATGTTGGTGCTAGTAACATGACGAGTGACTATAGTTCTCCTCTGTCAGCCGACTTCCCGATTTTGCCCGACACGGACTCTTTCTCGCACCATCCGAGCCGATCTTCCGAGCTTACGCAGGTACAGCAATAATGAAATTAGAAAGAAAACTACAGTGGGCGGCACGTTTAAATCAATTGTTTTTCTTTCATTCCTAGAGTCGATCTAAACAAAAGTAGGTATTTCAACGAAAAGTGCTAAAACCGTTGCGATTGTTCAGTACATATTATCATGACTATTCACCGCGAGCACAAACGATTTGGCAATTGTAGACTGGCTAAACGATCGCTTAAATGCTTTACAAACAAAAAAAAAAAACTACAATTGCAGGCTTATATCAGACCAAAACTTTCAAAACGTTTAGTTAAAGCTACTAAAAAGTCCAATCGAATCAGCAGACCATTAGAGCTTATCTTACATTAGGACGCCCCAGTCGGTGCTCCATGCTATTCTCTCTAGAAGGGCTAGTTTTTTTAAAATCAAAAATTGATTTTTTGAGCCATTTAAAACCGTTTGGCTTCATGAGGATATTTCTTAGCTTTCTCAAATGGTGCGGGAAACAAGCTGTAACATAGACCTTCTTCGATCTCAAGTAACAAAAGAAGTTTTTTTTAATTTCGACGAGCGTTACAAGGCAGTGCCAAGAGCTTGAATTCAATTCCAGTCGACTGACGAACGGATATTCCTTGTGATGACTTTTTTTGGTTGGAACAAGCCCTTAAAATTTGCTCCCATTCGAAGGTACCATCCTGTAAATGTCGGACTCATAAACGTATATGACTAGCTATTCTATCCAAAAAGAAGTAACGAATTGCACGGTGTCCTACAGGATGAAACAGTCGTCTGAATAATAATATAGCTGATATACGTTAAGGCGGTTAAGAACGATACAGCCGGATGGCTCAGCCTATCTAAAGAAGTATGTACTTTAATCGCTTGACGCTTGAAATTAGCTAACTACGATGAGGAATTAAGTCGCCGAAGCACATCAACGAACTAGTCTTTCCCAAGCCGGTCTATGCTTACACAAAAGCGTAAGCGTGAACAAAAAATTCGCGAAATTATAATGGGCACAATGGCACAAAGACAGCGATATATCGCAGTCGAGGTTTGTGGAGTAGCATATAAGTTTAGAGATTGACACTGATTCCCTTGGTTTCCCAACATTCACATACTTCGTAAGCGACATCCTTGATCTTGCGATGGTGCTCTAAGAATCTATATATGGTTGTATTCGGAAGAACAGTCAACAAAGTTGCAGTAATTTCTATGGTTGTTCTTATGATACGATACGAGGAATTGAGGCAACGTCACTCTATGAGGTAAAATCGACCGAATTCGTTATTTACAGCAAATAACCATCTAATATCGAACCCTAACTGCTGCATCTTTCAATGCTGAGGATCCACGTGAACATATCAATAAGCTATGCTTCCTGAAGTAAGGGCCAGCAAGGGCTTATAGACGTGGTAGTAGTCTCTACAACGTTCCTCAAGCACTTAAACGTTAATTGACGTCATTGACGAAGTTATCATTCTGTTAGGTCAGGAACTAATATTGAATTGAAAATACATTAGCAAGCTAGTGAATTCTGAGTGATGAAGTCCCTTCCGTAAATTGATGATATTGCTCTGAGGGGCCCAATAGTATCTTTGTTCCTAGACGAAAAAGAGGCTATCTGAACTGTTAGGACAATAGTTCGGATTGGACTCCCTGAACGGCTTTGCTAATATTTAGATATTTTCTAAGATAGATAAGGCTCCTAAGCGGCAGGAAGTATAGTAGCTTGGAGTATATAAGGTAGCAATAATGGGATGTTACGGAAATAATATCAGTATCGAGGCCGCACCGTCCGGGCGGTCGTCGTCAACACTCATCAATGATCTGCGCATTGGCGAGGAACACTATCTATCGTGATTTAATAGTATGAGATGATCTGCGCATTGGCGAGGAACACTATCTATCGTGATTTAATAGTATGAGATGATCTGCTAAACGATTTAGGGGCACCAGGGTAAGCTAAAATCAGCAAAATAGGTCACGTTGTGTGGAAGTAACGACCTGTGTTTCCTAGAAGTGTTTTACAGATATAGCAGTAGAAACAAAGCAATAAGCATTTCCCTCATAGGATTTCACTAGGTGCCAAGAACGTTTTCATTTCTTCGCGACGAATGCGAAAGGTACTGATTTATGGCACTTATATAACATCTTAATAAAGCGTTTTCCTTAGCAGAAGCTCGCGACCAACTGTGTAACGTTCATTTAACTACTCAAAATCTATGGACATCTTTCTTGTTATGAAAAAATGTCTGCACCATGCGTAGCGGCCGTATACAGCGCGACCAATTCAGGATGAATCGAAGTTGCGTCTAGTAAAGAAGATGGTTTCCCATCAAAAAAAGCATATATATATTGGAGCATGAAAGTTGCATTAGAATTGTAAGTTTATTTTTTTTAAACTGTTAAATACCTATATTTGTGTAGCCTGCGGCCAACTGAAGTAGGGCTTTAGCTGAATGCTTTTGAGACAAGCCGATGAAAAAGCGATCACAATCGTACGCTAATCTATGTTTTATTAGAACGTCTTCTCAAAAGACTATATTGTGTTTAGTTTGTTTTTATAAACAGTCAAGTATTTGTTAACTTGGTATCTTCAATTGGTGACTAAATGAACACGGAAAAGTTCGGCAGCAACTAAAAGTTGAAAACATGTTAGAGAAAGGCGTTCTCGTTAGGATACTTGAAACAACACAACCACCGTATTAGGCATTTCTCGATTGACTAAAAATTGTTTTGGCTATACATATATTACTATTATTATGGCTCCCGGACTGCATTGATCCTAAAATGTATGCCTTTTATATCGCTGACAAAAATCACGTTCAGTTTCCTTTATCTAGCCGGTAGGTTTAACCGATCAAAATCCAGGCTTTACGCTAAAAGCTCGATCGCTTAAGGTTGTAATGCAAGCAAACAAATGTGCCGACCTTTTGATTACTTTTACTCATGTCCTGTCTCCATGAGGTCCTTCATTTAGAAGTAACTTTTGCGAGTGAGTCATCGTACCCGTAGAGTTTTGCTAATTATTGGAAATAGGCAGTTTTGCCTCATCTATTACATAAGTAATTAATGTGTGGTAAATAAATAGCTTTTCTGCTTACTACTATACTTTAATCGGAACGTCAATGATTGAACCGAAGAACTATCTATTGCATAATCTCATCGCGCGTTTCAGTTTTTTTTTTTATTGTTTAGGTGCTCGTTTGTGTGGTCGGCACCGTACACACATCGCCATCATCATTATTATTACCATCGCTGTTTATACTCAAACAACGAGGCGACATCGGTGATTGTACTGGCGGGAGGAGCCAGTGACAAAAAGTCCCTCTCACCGCCCCGAAAACATTGCGCGTGATATTATATTTACGCTACCAGTTATGAAATTCATTTATTTGCCCTTGCATTAGACTGTTGTTATACTGGTATATTATGTTGTTTTTATTGTGTCGGGATAGGTCGTCGGCTTTCAAGCCCCTTGTTGGTTTACCCATTTGAAAATTTACCAACTCAGTACAACAAAAAAGAATTACAGTCAATTTTTGGGAATTTATCTAGTTGACTGTAGCCGAACATAGATATCTGTTCGTAACAAATCTAAATCATAACTACTTACTTAGTCGCGCAGCGGTTGGGTGAGCTAAAATTTTCACTGAAGAAGTTAAGGGTTAAGGTCTGACGTTCCGCAATGCGATAGATACATACACGAAGTACATTTTGTTCCTGTTTCTTCTGAAGTTATTCTCATTCTTAAACGGGAATAACGTCCTCTGGTTTTATTGAATGTCAGTTTCTACCTGCGGACACCGCTAATTCATTATTATGTCTAATACAGTACTATTTATCCATCACGAAGTAAGTCGTTTTTGGCCTCAAGGAGCCAAAACTTTTTAGTTATTGCCGCAATGGTGCAGTGCTAATGTGTTTACAAACTGACCAGAATGACATAGGGACGATTGAAGTTCAAATCTACACAAGAGCACCCTAGAATAGTCCAGTAAAAATCCCGGTAGCAATAGAGAAATAATAGAAATGATTATCTCGTATTCGGTTTGATGCTTTCAAATTGTCCGTATTGAATCTTTACCGCGAGAGGTCACTTTATAGAAAGTACATTTGGGGGTCAACTATGAAACACTCTTCCCATGTCACCTCATTAAAGCCTACGTATATCGGGCACATTTGTCGCTTTCAGGGTTAGTTTTGTTCCAAAGAGCAACGCGTGGGCTTCATTTCACGTCATTTTTGCCTTTTTTTGTGTGATAATGACAACAAAACAGAAGGCGAAAGAATGTAATCTTCTAAAAAAAATAAATGGCAAAGTGAATGGAGCAGAACACCTTAGGATTAAAAAATCATACTAGTCTATTAACAATCAATTGAAGCAATTACCCTACGTAGGCCAATCCAAAAAAACAAGCAACACACAGGCGGATATAGTAACAGAAAAAAATGACTAAGCCAATATAGATAACATGTGTGTCAACAAAACAAAGGAGACTCAATTTAAGTCAGCCTCCATATCTCCAGTTTTTACGTTCAGTATCCGCCGTTAAGCATTTCATCAGAGGGCTCCCAGCACGGAACGAAGTGTGTCTGTCTATGCCCGAATTCGCATCTAGACCGCAATGTGTCCCTAAGATTAGCAGGCAAATACGTTACCCATCGAGTTATCACGGAGGACTAGTCAACATGTGCTGTAAGAGCGCGCGCAGTTTTAAAATTTGGTTAGACACACTATCTATTCCCAGGTATCCTCATGATAACGCTTAGTTTCTCTGTCAAACAGGGCAACGTCCTGGAGACCGAAGTGGAGTGAATCTACTTCAACAACAGCGCCGATAACAGTAGCACCTTAGTGAGAACGCAACGGAGCCGTAACAGGCTATCTGTCAGCCAGGCCACTGCTGGCCGAGTTGTGTGGCCTGTGCGGTACCTCTGCCGTCACTGCTGCCATATGTTCATCGGCCTCGTAGCTCTCGCACATGGAAATCACAATAATAACAATCCAAGTGGTTATTTTCCGCCACATAGGCTGCGGACAAAAGTTTCGACTCTCGAATATAAATCCATATTGTAGCGTGCGTTTGTATTGGGCTCAATCACTGCGATTTTAACGTTGCTGTCTAATCATCAAACGATGAAAAATAAGCGAATGAACAGCCGAAAGGAACAGTTATAGTTGACTCTCAATGACGCGGTGATTGAAGAGTGACATTGTGTTCTCCCGCCCCCATCATGGCAACAGCTAACAGTTAGCAGAAGCTGAACAGTGGGTCTTATTACTTCATGTTCTTAGTACATATATCCTAAAAAAAAGGTAGTTCTGTAAGTGTTTTTTCTAATGCAGTAAAGCAGTGAACAGATGCGCGTCTATAGTAAAGACACTTGGCAAGTCTATGAAGCGATTCATAGGTTGTTGATGTGAAGTAAGTACTTGCTATTTTTATTCGATATGAACGCTCAATCGCAGGACTAATGCCCCCGACACTATCGTTTAGAGCTGTTTCACCCCTTACTTTTCTATTTCTTAAATGTTCTAATGTCGCAGCGCTGGATGCGACTATATTCGTTCCTCTATGTTTCGAGTTTTACATTAAGCATTCTATCAAACAAACGGCCGGCTTCCTGTCTTCTGTCGGAAGTCTTCTGTCTACGTCCGGGTCCGAACCTAGATTACAATATGTCCCTAAGATTGGCCCTAACATTCGTGCTTAAAAAAGGTCCATGAGAATGCTTAGCAGTCGGAAAGTTTAGATACAAGTTTTTTTTCATGGATAACGAATTTGCTTGAAAAACTCCTCTTATAATCATCGAGGTACCTTTTACTCTGTTTACCTCGCAAGGGGGACGTTTATGAGTTTCTTGTTAATGAGCCCATTTTTGTTATTATTAACGACAGCGACAATCGAACGACTGTGCTAGCCAATTACTAGGCTAAAAACGATAAACCGTTTCTACCAAGAGAAGCTTAAAGTTTTCATTACGTTCCACTGCACTCGACTCTAGACATCTGAAAAGTCATCATAAAGCATACCATCTATAAAACGCAATGGTTTTGTGTTCGAGAGACCCTTATACTTCTGTATTCTTCGAGATCTGAGACTATTTAGTACCATATTGTCACCTAGAATTTTAGCAGACGGGCTGCAGTAAGCCAAATTCGTACCGTATAAACCTTGCGTCCGGTAAACTAGTAGAAGCACTCTTTACTAAAGAATCTGCTACCACAAACACCGCCGGTAAGCCGATGGTTCGTTAAAAAGTAGAGAATAAATTTTGAACTTGGAATTGGGTCTCATGGAAGACCCTTTGTTAAGACAATCGTGAGGCTAAAAGTTGTGATGGAAGCCGGCTCATCCCAATGTGCGCGGGTGTTAGTACTTAGACTCGTGTATATATATATATATATATATATATATATATATATATATATATATATATGGAAGGAAATACTAATAGGCGTCGGTAAAAAATAGAGAAATGGGTGCTGTCCAATTTGTGCAGAGACCAACTATGATGACGTAAAGTGCTTTCGTCTCTTTGCCCTCACGTTACCACAGTGACTCATTCCTGTTTCAAATTGTGACCCGTGATGAAAAATATACCTTAGAGATGGTTGTAAACCATCACATCAGCCGATAGATATAGATGAGCCGACGAGACATTGCGCGGAAGCATACGTACAGCCGCAAGAGCTTACCTTATAATGGAAGAATCACTGTGACAAAAATAGAGCAAGATCAGGCTCTCTGTCATTGACCGTATTCACCAGACATTGCTCCCAGAGGATACAATTTTTGTTTGAATTTCTAGAAGCTGTGAATGAAAACAATTATTCAAAGCTCAACCAGATGTCGAATTTACCTTTAGAGAAATTATAGAATCTCTTATTTCAGACTTGTATAGCAGCGGCTGAAAATCGTAGATAATAGTAGAGCATACTTAGATGAAAAGATTAAAACTGAAAAGGTTAAAGTTACCTATGTTGTGGTTTATATTGTATTACCTATGACCTGACTTTAGTTATAGATAAAATGAACTTTATTCAGAAAAATAATCGACAGCCTCACCATTGGAAAGCACATTGATAAGAACGAACTATGGTAGCCCTTCAGGCGGATATTGATTGCTCTTAATTTCTCGTTACAGGCGTCTCTTTACGATGTACCTCGTTCTCCACAACCACCCCCTGGGGAGAAAGGCAGCTGCTTATCAGACAACCTTTATACACCTTTTGACATCAGTTTAGGGAATAGAGGTACATACCTCAAATAAGAAGAAAAAGGATAAATATAGCTATTATTATATTTTGAACATTAACAGTATTGGAATAATCGCGTTTCGTTTTTTGTATAGAATTTTGTTAAGTGTTATTCCAATATGCATTTAAATTTACTTAGCTTATTTATGGAACTTTAAAATTGAGCATTTACAAAATAGCCTTAGTTATCAAGTCGTCTTTCCCGCCTTTTGCACATGTTTTTTTCTGTTGTTTTCGGTTGTAATCGCTAAAGGGTGATAGTAGTCCATGTGTCAATATATGCATCCATCCAGGAAGTTGAAATATAACTTGAAAATGAGTTACTTCTAGTATAGTAGAATGTTGTATTTTGGTTGAACCTCAAATAAAGTTAGACTATCTCTGGCAATTTTGTCTCGTAAATGCTTAGATCTTAAACGTTAAATCAGAAATGCTTCCGCGTTGGCTTGTGATAGGCAATGAGTCTGGTGAGGACGGCAGCTCATTAACATACGATCTGCCCCGGAAGACCGAAAGGGGAAAAGCGCGCCATGATTCAAACCAAGAGACTGGAGAGATTTCGTGTGAGCTGAACAAGCATTATGATGTTCCAGCGAATCTACCTCATCCTGCCGCCAGGCCGAGAAGGGTTAGTTTTCAAGCCGTACCAGCATAGTAGTCACTCTTCGGCCTAACGTTACGTACGGATTCTATTTGAATATAGATGCTATAGCGTAATGCACAAACGTCGCCATTTAACGTTTGGCAGACGTTAGGGAATTTTCGAAGTAGCATTTAACCAGTTCCAAAAAATGTCCAAGCATGCGAGTGAAAAATTAGATGGTACTACAGAATCAGACCGGTACGCAACGTCTAGTTCACACAGTGCATCAACCTGCAATTTTCCTACTATTATTTCTATTTTTCCTGCGACCTCAATACAACCTCAGGGCGTATCAAGATTATGTACGATGCGTAACCTGAATCATGCATGCATGATTATAATTGTGAGTTACGTATTCGTAATCTGGGCATTTCTCTAAAAAAGTGACATCAGATTTATGCGATTACTTGCCTATGTCTGTGTTTAGGTGATCCCGGAGCCCCGGCGAAACCTTCTCAGAGAGAACAATGCCCTCAGTTGCAGCGATGCCAATAAAAACATCGATACTTGTCACAAACTTTCTCGAATGACACACCCTCCACAGAATAATCAATACGAAGTTGTTTCAGAAAAGGTATCTTTAGAATATCATCTACTATTTAGGTTTAGCTTATTTTTATATTGCAATGCGTAAAAAGACCTTTTGATATTCTGCGTTCGTAGGATTTTTCAGTGCTGTAACAAAGTTTGCTTTTCAGATTATTTCTGCATTGAAGGTTGAGCAATTGAAAACAGATGGCGTATACGCTTATAGCTCCCCATATCGCGGTCAGTACGGCGTTATTTTGTAAAAACTGCATTACCAAATTCTTCGACCCATTTGAAGCTGGTGTGTCTTAACAGATGTTCAGGCTTACTCGCGTCGACGTCTGATCAGGGAGAGCACCTTCAGATCACGTTTTTCACATTATTATTTAGTAGTTAACAGGATGCTTGACATTTTCAATTCCGCGTGGGTTTTTCTCTAGTCGTACTACCTTGTAGCAGGCACTGAACAGGTGCCGGTGTTCATTAAAACAAATCCAAAATATATTTACTATGGGCAGCAATACAAAGCAATAAATGTTATTTCTCGAACGGTATTAGAAAGAGAGACGGCTGTTTACGGCTGGCTCGAGTAGAGTAACAGACAAGATACGCGCGGTTTTCGGCGCGTTGCACCCTGCATTGCGTATCTACACAGATGACGTGTGCACCAAGATGTGCAAGCCCCGAATCAGTCAGTTATGTATTTACCAAACAGTGGCGCATAGTGATACGATCGCTGATCGAAAGCTATCAATAAATATAGTAAATATATACTACTATATTAAAGTTACCATTGCGTTGAGTTATGGACGTGGTTTAAACTCCTGGAGTCCAGCTATTTTGTTATTTCTTAGTTTATATAACAAATATAAGAGTGAATGGAAGCACGTTACGGGTTTGTTTAGCATAAGCCATGCATCAGATTCGTATCTGTCGTATTCGTCAAATGTTCTACCTCAAACGATCGTATGCATCAAACGTTCTTCGGTCGGGGTGAACTGTTTTTGTTCCGAGAAGCCGAACTGTGCTTAACCATGGAACCACAGCCGGGAGAGTCAGAACGTTTGTGTAGATATATTTACAGGCGCAACCTTAATAGAAATGCTAATATGTTAGAAAAAAAATACCATAAATAACCAGAAATTTATGGGACCTCTGTGTCTCAAGTATTACGTCCGGCATCGTCGTTAGGCGTTTAATTGGACAGCAGGCTTCCAGCACGAGACAAAGTGTGTCTATGCCCGGATTCAAGTGCAGACCACAACGCGTCCCCCACATTACGTTAATACAAATATGTAACCCGCTAAGCTAGGGAATAGAAATACGAGAACGTATTTATGGAACGTAGGAAGTCTATCGATACGTTCATTCATGCAAACCGTGCAGTCATAATGAATTAAGTTTATCGTATTGAAGTTTAGGCGAGAGAGGCAGAGTAAAAGAAATATTCTGTGTGTCATATGAGAAATGCTACACGCTGTTTTGTGAAGATCAAAATACATTGCAAGTGTTCGAAAAGTAGCATTATGTAGGCTGATCGAATCTAAAGGAAAACGTGCGAAATTCTTATTGTCTTTCTGTAAATACATATCCCGCGAACCTGGCTTGAAATCCCAATAGTCGTTCAATATCTTCAAGTTTTAATATCCTCTTGGATATCTTTAAAGACGTATTTTGTTTTACTTATTAATTTATATGCTCAAAAAACGATGTGCAGAAAAATTCAACTTGGAGTCCGAATCCCATAAGATTTCATAACTTTCCAAATGTCCTGTTACAAGCTCGTCCGGAGCACGATCCTAAAATTGTCTGTGAAAATCACCTATAAATATCTGTTTTAATCTAATATGCACTCACAGCCGGTACCTGAAACTAGTTCAGGACTTTCTTCCGAGGCAGTTCGAGTCCCCGCTATCCATCCACGACTTTGTTCGACTGACGATTCCGCAAAGCAAGGTTCAGCTGCTGCCCTGGCGGAAATGCTCATCTTCCCAGATACATACGATCTACCGATTCCAGCAGAGTCCGCCCAAGGAGAACAGGTAACTGACCGAGAAAAGTAAACATTCGCCTAGTATCTTCTGTGCCACAATATTTGAAGGAGAAGTAGCTATGGTTCAATCTTTTCGGGGAAACAAGCGCTCGTACAAAGCGAGGTCGTAAGCTCTTAGCGTTACCTCGAATCAACAAACGACAGCACTGTAAAGTAGTGAGCGACTACAGACGAAAGGAAAGTAGGGTTTCCGCACAGATGAACGTCGACTCAACGTGTACCCTTAATTGATGCAATCCAAATGTGTATTTTTGGCTATTGTTCTGTTTTTATTAGGTTGTTAACGAGGAGATTCCATGTAAGCAGAGCTACCATATCACGGTTCGTCCATAGAGACCTCAGCTACATGTTATATGCTGTAAAAGTCAGACAGGTGGCCTTTAAGAACGCTAACATTTGGTCTATGTCGTTTATTTCTCAATTCGAAAATATCTATCTTCGATGCAAAGTCAATCCCATGAACATCGCTGGCTTGTTCATGAGTCAAAGGTTGCATGTATATTATATATCTACATAGATATATATTTATATACATATAGAAGGCGGCGCCCAGTGCTAGAATTTTATATAGTAAAGTATAGTCATTGTTATCAGACATAACTGTTATTCACCGCTCTTATATGTTCACGCTGTTAGATCATAAGCTATTTGACTGGTCTAAGTTTTACTAAAGTTAGAATAGTAACCGTGCGTCGAACGATAACTGCAGATGCAAGCTTGTAAAGTGCCGCTCGTACAAAAAAAAAATGGAGCGAAATCGAATTTTGCGCTGATGACAGGTCAAAACTCTCGAAAATGTAAAGGGTACAACGTGTCAAGCTACCTAAAAATGTAAGGAGGCAGAAAAAGTTTCAATAAGGGCTTATCTAGGCGACCCAACTGGTAATTTATATCCTTCCCTACGAGGTGGCTGTTAGTCTCTCTGAAAGAAACCCAGGTGCATTAGAAATGATTTTGCGATGCATCTTTGAGCCCTTCTTCGGATCCTCTTCGGATTTTTCAAAGATGGCCTAGATAATAGCAACAACGACTGCTGATTTCGAGCAAAAAAAAAAAACTAGTTTTCTTGACGTCTGCCTGCTGATCCTTGTACAATTTTTTTAGGAATGCGTCGATCTTTTTGTTATCTTCTAAAAAGAACTACCTTTTTTTGGTATCAGAAATAGCGGATGAATGCATTCGCGTTACGGCAAACGGTTTGCCAAAGTAAGTTTACCCAAGTTTAGACGATGCACTATATATATATATATATATATATATATATGAATAGTGCGAATTGTGTTGTTTTTGGCGAGACTGTGATCGATATTGTTTGTTTTATGTTCCTCTGAATTTAGGATCCCAATTGGGCTTCAGATCTGAGCTCTTTGTTACTCAATGAGCCAACGTACGATGTCCCATTAGCCACGAGTACGACTCCGCCACCAGCGGGCTCGCCCCCGCCACCTTCGGATCCCCCGCCACCTCCGCCGCTTTCCAGTAGTCCGGTATCACTACCACCCCCGTCAAGTCCACCGCCTGCGTTAATTTCTTCGACTTCAGTAACACCACCGTTGCTGTCATTGAGTTCGATGAGTTATCCCCTACAGACGCAACAACAGCCTCCGGTAGCCACCTCGGCTAGTTCCTCGGGAGTAGCAACCGGGCCGATCACCGATAGTGGACATAGTAGCAGCAGTAGCACTAGTGGAGTGAGCTTAACAATAGCAACACCATTGTCACCTGTGTTTAGTTCCGTAACAGAACATCACTTCCGAGAACAGGTAGGTGTAGCTTTCATTTGAGCTTAGTTATATTCAGTTACCTCCAACGTTAAACTTGAGCCTTACGCTTTATAAATCAAGCTTTCTGTTTATCACAGCCTCCGCTCGTCGAGGACTGACAAGCGTTGGGACGATGATATAGATATACTTCAAAATCGAGCGCAAGGATAAGTATATAAAAAATGTTTGTCGAAAGAAATTCATTTGTTAAACATTAAATCGATTTATATATTTCGATCTTTCCCCTCAAGGGGGTGTGCAATTTGGCCATATTATTCGTATGTCAAAATATGCGGTAAGCAATACAAAAAATGATGTTCGTTCGTGATGCGATTTAACGTCTGCATCTTCTCTCAAAGTATTCTCATAAAATTGAAATTTTTTATCTTTTTAATAGTTGTGATCCAAAGAAAATGTATTAGGACGTTCAGTCAAGAGAATTTCACATACATATATACCAATTAATTCAAAAACATTTTCTTGACGAAAGACGACCTACGTGACATTCATTCATTTAGAGAACTTTGGTTGCAAGCTTTTACAAGCTGTAATTAAGCTGGAAACTGTCTGGACTCGTTGTAGTTTGGTTCAAAGACGCTAACAAATAAATCTGGCAGGTCTAAATTTTAATGCGTGCCAGATCAAAGGTCTCAAAAGCTAAAATTGCAAGCAACGTAACCATTAGAGCGTATCTGGACAACCTTATCGGGAGCACCTTACAACGCTGGGCCTACGAACGGCACGCAATCAGCAGAAATATGCTCGATCTCGTTCACTTTTTGTGCAGCGTTCCCCCTTCTCTCTGTCTCTCTATCGCTTCCTCCTTCTCTGAAAAGTCAGACACGACTTCCACGTCGCCGTAGTCATCGTCGTCTTCCACCGTAAGAAACAGCAAATACGCAAGCGAAAGTGGGGGCTTGATGATATTGCGATCAACTAAATGAGTTCAGCGTACTTCACAGCAGTACAGGGCTATCGCCTTATTCGCGGCATTTTTTTACAGATGGTAGCCACTAACCACCAACCCCCGCCGGTCCCTGCGCCCCGCCAAAAAGCTCCGCCGCCGTTACCTCCCAAAACTGAAGTAACAGCTCCTCGATCACGTCCTTTCAATGAGCATCGCAAGTTCTCTCTCCAAAATACAAGCGCTTCGCCGGTAAAAGAATCTGTATTATCGTGAGTATCCGTTATATTCGTTACCATACTTTACTCGAATGGATTACGATTAAATTAAACGAATCGGGTACTCCATATCTACGAAGCTTAGAATGCATTTCACTTTCAGGTCCATGCAAACTCCATCAAGCTAAATAGATTTTCTTTACAAAAAATGGCATTATCTCCAACCGGGTCTAGCGTACCCTCAGCACTGAATTGGCATAGCATTGTCCTGGGGTAATCATTTTCTTGCGGATCCTCATTCGCTTGAGTTACAGTTCATACACTTCAGCTGCCTGCTCGAGGCAATATAATTTATAATTATGACCTGTGAAGCCGTTTCTTCCGACAATGGCCTGACAAAGTGATTATATATAAATCACCTCCTGAGGACTGCTAATCGTGTACAGTGACAACCTAATATAGAACGTACTTTCGGTGTGTTCATGAAACTACCGGTTTGCTAGCATCGATTTTGAGTACACTCACTCTCGAGAGCGGGTTATTTGTTCGGCACCTGTAGGATGTGTCACGCTTTGCAAAATCTCTGGCAACCTTTTCTTATACGTCAGCCTTAATACAAAAGCAGACACTTGCACTCTACGTAGAAATGGCTGGAGTACCGGAAACAGGCGTCGGCTATTGTACGGCTATTGTACAGAACGGCCGAACGGAGGTCTAGTTCGAGCAGTAGTACATATACTTTTTCAAATAATACATTAATTTTTAGTACTACCTTAGTGTATTGAGTTGGCGAAGTCATGGTTGATGTCTTTTACAGAGAAAGAGGTAATTCTCTAACGTCGTGGTATTTAGACACAAACCAGATCCGCAATTGTGATATTCCGCACCGCGAGCTGATGGGCAGTTCCGAAGATGGAAGTACTGATCCTAGTTCGATGCCCTCAATGTCTCTTGCATTCCGTAAGTTGAATTTCGCTGTGTTCGCGAAGAAAAACGACCGATTTATTCGTAGACGCAATAATTACTTTTCTTTGGGCCATACTGTGTGGTATATATATATAGATATAGCCTTAATCGAACTTACGTTGACTTAATGCAATTGTTGAGAACACCCGAACTAACAAAGCAACTTACAACGACTTAATTTTCGAGCAAGTATTCAACGCCTCTCGTCAAAGATAGCTCCATAACCAGGCCATTGATGGTTTTGTGGTAAGTAGTCAGTCACCGGACAGAGTTAACGGAAAAATGTTTGCCACCTAAAAAGACTCCGAGAATGATCGACTTCAACAGGCTTTGTTGCTGTGAAGGCGCACGTCTGTGTGCGCTGAACTTCGTCAGCTGCCCAAGACCTTCTAAGTTTCCTGGCGTATGCGTTTCTGTTGCAGCCTCTCCACTGAAGCACTCGCCTAGTGGAAAACTTCCTTCGAGCGGACTAACTGGGTCAGGTTTACATCAACGAAGCGGAAGCAGAATTTTTTCATCGGCTATTAAGATTTCTAGCAAACTCATGCGAAAACGTTAGTTTCACAACAATTCCCCCAAAAGTGTTTTATTGATATTTGAATTTAATTACGTAAACTATCTTGTTAGTCTTTGTTCGGTTGGCAGTGGTGCAATGTTTCGCCCTCTTCGGCTGTTCTCTTGGATCTTTTTAATAATTTTATCTTCTTAATAAAGATATCTTACTATACCATCTGTGGCTAGCTGAACTTGAGCGTGCTTAAAATAGAATTTTTCTCTTTGCTCTAGAATCCTATATTAGTTTAGGTTTTTCGGATTATCTGTAGGGGCCCAACTAACAAAAGAAAGGACCTTAACCACTAGCTGCAACAGTGCTCCCATTCAACATGAACATAATTTTTTATTTCAAGATTAACGTATAAGTTGGAAAGTTTTTTCACCGGCTAGTTTAATTACTGCACCGTATGGATATTAAATTTAGCATCTGCGGATTCAAGGATCACAAACTATTAAAAAGGCATGGCCGTCAACCCTAGTCGCGCATTTAGAAACCAAATACGCCTAAGTCATCCACTGCCAATGAGCAATAACTGGAACCTATCTTTCGACACAAGTGTTAAGGTTCTCGTCGCACAACATAAATACCCGTAGATGGTGTATGTATAGTGTTTATGGTACTCTGAGGCCGGAACAAATTGCAGTGCTGGAACAGTGATGCACTATATAGCTACATAACTTAATACTACAGCTATACTTCTCCTTGAATTCCCTTTTTCACAGAGAGTGCAACGGCGACTATTTCCTCGGAAAGTTGGGATTCGAATTCCGCTGATAGCGATACCAATGATGGAATGGTGCTCTACTTCAATCAACTTGACGGACGAAAAGGTGCATCCTTTTATAGCAGACAGAAAGTTAATTTTTTATAGAGGGTGGAGCGAAAATCATGATAATTTAAAAAAAAAAATCTCTATTTAGAAGAAGCAAAAGTTACGCAAATTGTTGCCTATAATTCTGCAGCATATTTTTAATAGGGGCACCTTAATACTATTCATTTCTATATTACGATGTTGTTATAATGGCGTTAGCATGTGCCTAGAATTCAATAGCTATAAAAAAGGCTACTCTGGCCTATTAAATGATATATTGAATAGAATCACAGTTCCCTATAGTATGCCTATAACGTAGTATTATTATTATAGGACTATGGCCTTGTTACAAATGTGGAGTTCGATACGCCCTTCATGTAGCACGTTCGCTGCAATTTTAACAGATGCAAATGCATAAAGACTTGCCAAAATAGATTTTCTCAAATGATCCAAGCTTTTGCCTCGTCTTGTATTATAATGTGTAAAATATTAAAATCAACCTAGAATATTTAGCTTAGGACGCTTATGTTAATCTAAACGGAGAAGCATCAAATGCGCTCTACGTAATAGCCACGTAAATTACGTAACAATCACAATTATTGTATTGAATGGTTATGTACCAGATGAGTACGGGTCTAATCGTTACATCTCATACCTATAAAAGATGTATCAAAATGGTATAGTCGCCTGCTTCTTGTCGGCTAGAAGCTAGCCTGTGCCAATGCGGTTCGGCATTGTCTTTCTTATCTGCTATTCAGACGCTTAATTTTAGAACATTCGAACGGTGCTGTGTAAAAGATCTCTATTCTCGTCTCTGACAAACAGAGCTAGGCTATCAAAAAGTCTGCGATACGTTCTAAATTAATCAGGTGCCCGCAGGTGGTGCTATTACTGCAGAAGGGCCCCGAGGATAAGGCTTTATGTCAACGTGTACTGCACAAGCGATGCCGACAGTTTCGTGTCGTACGAAACAATGCAATTTGACGGCAATGCTTGTTCTGGGTGACCCGTCACGGCGACTATGGGAGACAACGCGGACAAAGTTATATAACTTGCAGTGGCCGATAGTCAGTCAGCTCCAGAGAGTTAGACGTCTCACCCAAGTTATGTCGCACTATTTTCAGACGTTTAAGGAAATTCCCGAAAAATTCAACAAAGCATTTCTATGACTGAGTCCGAAACCTATTTCAAAAACAGTCAAATATGATTGCCATAAACAGTCGAACGGAAATTCCTTCGAGGGAGATTACAGGGATTCTAGAGAACGACCTAAACACACATAATTGACACAGAGTGAAATTCTTCACATGCTAACATATCACTGTATCAAAAAGGTTAATGTATATTATTCTACCGTTTCTAAAAATAAAAGACCTTGCGTTGTGTGGCCTAGAGTGCTTGAAGTATTCAGGTATAGAAAGCCTGACGAATCTATATTTCGAAGCCTAGCAAACTGCTCTTGTTTCGTATAATTTTAATTTTTAAATACATACGTCTATTGCAGATTACTGTCAGCGGTTATGCGTCATTGGAGATGGCTTCCTCAAACTATATGATAACGATTTGGTTCGTTCACTTTTTTTCTTTCGCTTCTAAATGTTTTCATGCGAGTTGACAGGAAATCCATTAGCCAATGTTTACCTTTATTATGCCTGCGAAGACCCATTAGGGCCTCGTGAATCATGATCGATCAATAATTAATGAAGACGTATAATCTGCGCCTATTTAATGAGTACGAACCTACTACGAGGCATGTTTATATTTCAGATGACAAGCCCATCATTATGCCTTAGTTTTGACGAGGTCACTCTCTTACTGGCGAGGAGGGATATTTGGTACGTGGCAAATGATACCTTGGTTCGAGCCCATTATCATCATAATTAGTTTTGATGTTCATAATACAGTGATTTTATAGCAAAAAGCACGCTAATATTTTAACTATCGTATCATGCATTAAACCAGAACTGTTCGTACCGTCCAATAAAGAAAGCGCACTATTCAGAGAAAAAATCGGAAGAAAAATGGTTTAATTTTCCATGGATTTTCTTACGTCTTAGCGTTATAATACCATTGGTTGTTATTTGCGCTTGCTACAGTCCCTCGTCAAAGAGTGCACCGAACCTTTTTTTAATCGATGTTCGAGCAAATGGAGTGAGTCGAAGTCTTGGGTTCACTTCGGCTATCGAGCGAGCTGAGTTCCTCCGAAGAGTGAATCAATCATTTAATCCCCCTTGTCTTCAACTGCAAGGTAATAATACCGTGACCTGAAGTTGGCCGAAAGACACAATTGTCCACGACCGAATAATAGTTAGCAAGATTTAACTTCACACATTAGAATGTCAGTTAAACGATTAGATCTGCTCAAACGCATCCTTAATTCGTTTTCAATAGGAAATCGTTCAGTTATTAGTATTGATTGATTTTAGGTCTTTTCTTGCGAGACCTGTGTGTCGTCCCCAACCAATCATTCGTAAACCAATCATTCTGAGGATTTTTCTAACTGACCGCTAACGCACACCGCGCGATGTCATGAAACGAGCGAAGTTCTGTTAAACCGCAGTGATTGCAAAAGAGTCTAGTTTTAGAGGGTCTTCCCTTTGACACAAACCCTGTCTTGCTAGTCCAGGCAGCAAGATAATTAAAAAATATCGTATAGCGGTAAAATACTTATATCTGTACTCACTTATACAGTGCATTGCTTAATGAGCAGGTGAGATCTGGGCGTCTGGCATACTATGGTGTCGCTACTCTGCATCGGGAGACTGGCAGAATGTCAAAGCCGTAATTCACGGAAAGGTTAGCCTAAGTGGCCTGAATGAACACAGACGTAAATAGCAACTCTGTTAAGCAGAAAATGACGTAGTACATAATCATAGTAGAATCGGTGTAATATATGAGCCGGGTTTCTTAGTATACGCAATGCATATCCCACGTGTTACTCCAATATCATCTAGTATAAATAGAAATTAACTGAGAGTTAACTGAATGCTAGTAAATGAATTTCTACCGGTCCTGTGACGAGACTGCCGTAGTTAGATTTTTTTCCACTGGAAGGTTGATTCGTTGCTCTGCGTCCTCAGTTCTAACCGATTCGTATCCTTGCACGTTTGAGACGATTAGGAGTTCACGCCGATTCTAGCGGAGCGCCAGGATAATGATGCGGCGACCCTGGACGGAACCACAAGGACAATGACCGTGCCCGCCAATGTGACAATTGACCTTCGCAAAGCTAAGGCTGTTGGTTCGTATATTTTGAAACGAATAATGACAATGCATTACATCAATAGTGCCGTAACACAGCCTGACTCTGGACACAGGAACGGATTTTTCGTTTGTGAGGATACTACAGTATTTATATTACGAACACACACGTTATATGTCGTCCATCTATCTGGCAATTAAATAAAAATCACATTTAACAGTTTTCTGCACACCGTTAGAATACTGAAGTTTGTTTCAGAATTCGTTTATAGTGAGGGTTACAATGGGTGTCGGATCTCTTAGGTATTATTTTCATTTACTTTTATTTATTACAACTTTATTGCCACACATAACTAACGTTGCAAACAGCTCTTCCAATGAAACGTACATAAATAAATATAATAAGCTAGATTAAATTATCCAACAATATATTCCACACAATGGTGTACTTCAAAGGCTAATGTCTCAATTGGTTGACGGCGATTCATCGTCGTCGTCGTCATATAGTAAAACACTGGGCATTACTCTGACAAGTAGGGTATGCGCTTACCTTGGCTTTAACGTATCGATCGTGTACCATTGATCGATCTCAAAGGCGGATCCAATTGAATCAAACGATTCATGCATTTTCCTGTATTGCTGGCTAGTTGATCAAGACGTTTTCGAGAAGTTTGGGATGTTCGACCTTTAATAGTCTATAAGCTAGCAAATCCTGCTCTGTAAATGTGTATGGCGACCATACTCCACAGCCGCATCAAAACGAGTTTGTAAAGCTTTTTTGCATTTTTAGCTTCTATTTGTTTGCGTAAATGATCGTTTATTCCTACAATCGAGACTGCTAAGTTGTACTAATGCCTTGGGGATATTGCAATCTGAAAAATTATTCCAAATTGGAGTTCGCCATATAAGAGCTATATGATTGTGTTGGTAGGTAGTAGATAGAAAATTGGTTATCGGTAGGTTTCTCCATTTGTATGTTTTTAATATACAAGTCCAATTCGAAATTAGCATGGTATGCCGTTCTTACTTACTTCGATCCATTAGCCCCTCGTGTGAACTCAGTCTGTAGTAGTATTCTTTTGTTGTTATCATCCGCAGTTTTCGAAACGACCTGCCTTGAAGCTTATTGTTCAATGATGGGCAAATTTGTTTATTATGTAACTACCATGGTCGCAATTGTATTCATTAACGTCTGTATTGTTTTCCAGTATGTTTGTGTTAATATCCATTGTAATCAATCTCATTAAGTTGGTTTTGAGTGGCCCAATCCTAGGTGATAAGGTCAGAACAGTTAGAGGCCTCGTAAGTCGGAGGTTTTTATTTTAGTTCGGGACGTCATTTGACTAATGCTTTTGACTCGTTGCAATTATCTCGTGTGTTTCTTCTTGCAATTCCATTATAATTTTCACTAGCGTTACTATTATTATGTTTTTAATTGAACGGCAATCCATATTTCATTTAAACACATTTCATAAATGTTCGCCCTCTGTTTTTATTCCTTGAACTTTTCACGTTTAAACACTCGTTATGTAAATGGAACCCAAGCGGCACTGATGTTTCTCTATTTCTCCTCCATTGACCGGTACGAATGTATGTATCGTCTGTGTGCGTTTTTAGCGGTACCTTTTCGTACTTTCTTTCGAGAATAAATGCTGGATAAACTTGCAAGATACTCAATCATAATTGTAATATGTAATCGAAATTTAGGGAATTACAAACGCCTGCTTAAATTGTCTTTTCTATTTTCTAGACATATGTACAAGCTCCGTTTCTTTACTGTAGATCCAAACGATGTGCTTAAATGGAAAAAATATACTCAATTTCATTTTGTCTTCTTTAAACTGTCCCAAAATTGTTCCATCAACCCTACGTTTACAACACATACGCTTGTCTTCTCGATCAATTTACGAATCCTTTGCCGATTATCTTTCTTCATCTTTCAACGGCAGGGGAGGGAGGGGGGGGGGTACATCCTCTCCAGTCCCGAGATGCTTTTAGTATTGAACTTCGCAGACCACTTTCAAATATTTCTCTGGGGCCTAGAAGCGGCCTCGCATACGCACAAACATTGCGGGTTGTCACCGCAGATTTTTGGCGTTGGCAAAGGGAAAAATATAGCAAATGTGTAAAATATACGAAGAAAATCTATTGTTTTAAGGTAAAATTCCGTTTGTTACACAATAAAAGTACGACAGGTTTATGGTGGAGAGAGAACGTACTTTCAAAAAGCTTATAAAGATAAACAGACAGCGAAGAGGTAAAGGAAAAAGAAGCAAATGAATAAAACTTATGCACAAGCCAATATCTTTATTGTTAAGTCAGTATATAAATAATGCACCAAACCAATATTGAAAAATTCATTAAATTTCAATTGATAAATAATCATAGAGCAAAAACCATTTAGTTTTTTGATAGCACCCAGTAGCTGACTAGTGATTACCTACGATTTGCATACGTGCTTCGGCAGAATTAAACTATTCAGAAAAATGTAAAAAAACGCAAAAATAAAAGAGAAAATTCTGTCCGATCTTCAGCGAAGGAAAAGTCATAGATGTATTTCCGTATGCGAACAGAAGCGTTTTATGAACAAAATAGTAAAATAGTCAAAATTCATTTATATACAATTATTTTGTTTTAGGGTGTATATATATTTTAAGCATGTTTTAATAGCAACTATATTGGCTTTTATTGGCTCGCTATCTCAGAGTGGACCCCCGCATCGCAAGGGATGGGGGGCGGCGACGTTTCTTCTAGCAGCCCAACGCTGCCCAGTAGTAGTGGTGGATCTCCACCAATGGACCGCATTTTTCACATTGTGCTTCCTGGTCAAACTATATATCTTCGGGGCCCAGCATCGCATGAAACGCTTGCCTGGTTCGACTTACTTGAAAAAACACACACAACTTACCTAGATAAGAAGCTTTTAAGGTACGTTTAGTAATAAGGTAAGAAACTTGCGATGTATGTAACGAATATAAAATGACATTATTGATTTTACGCTTTTGATCAGCGGGCTGTGACTAGATGATTTTTTGGACTTGGCTAAAATTATGAGGGATAATTTAACACTGAAACGGCATATTGATCTGGAAGAAATAATAATGTTATCTCCTTCAATTACGTCATCTGTTTGTTGGTAGCGAGCAATACCTGAATACGGAAAACGTGCCGCTAGCCGTTGAGAAATGTGTAAACTTCGTTTCGGCACATGGCTCGGATCTGATAGGAGTTTATCGTCTGCCTGGGTCTCAAGTAAAAATCGAACGACTCGTCGAAGCACTCAAACGAAGTTCGTATTAAATCCCGATATTAAACAAGCATTCTAAACATGTGTTTAATATATAATTTAATAATTCAGTAACGATATTAATACTTGCATCGCTGCTGTGCTTCAAATGCCCACTCTTGTGTTAGAGTTTCAAGATTTAGAAAAATAAGAGAACGTAAATTTATTTGTGATTTTTTTCCTATTTTTTGAAGAGTCCTAAACATTATTATTCACAGGATCACATGAATACAATTAAGAATTTTTAATTTCGTTTGAGATTTTTGCAAAAATTATCTATCTCACCTTTACGCCAATTACCACTCGAATGCGTTCAGGCTAGAAAAAGGGGTGAATATATCGTGCACCTTCATCCAACTATCTTTATGCAAATGTCTAAAATAGCCGGACCAAATAATTTACTGTCAGGAGTTACCAGGTTAAAGATATTGCTTAAGTTTATTTGGAACTATTAACTTTCTCTTTCTCTGTTGTTTTCTTTACGTATGTCAGACGCATGGGACGTTCACTTAGTACCGGAAGATTATTCAGCTCACGACGTTGCAAATGTCCTCCGCCGCTTTCTGCGTTCTTTTGATGACTGTCTGTTAACCCAACGCCTTTACGATTCATGGATCAAGTGTTCCAGTAAATATATTTATATATTTATTTATTTCGTTTTTTTATTTTTAAGCATTCTTCGTTTGTTTAGCATTCGGTATTATATTTGTCATATTAAAGGACGAAACTTTTCCAGTTTGATAGGAATACGTCTCGAGCGATACTGCTAATGACTCATCCCGACCATTCTTAGTTCTTTTACCTTAATCACATTAAAATATACATAGTTTTTGGTGTTACGGTACATTACCTTAGTTGTATCCCAGAATCGTTGACTTCTGCATAATAGGATCTCGATTCGGCCTTTACTTTTTCACCGTTACATCGCTTTTTCAGAGATTGAAAGCCTGGACGAGCGCCTACCGCGCCTAAAAGACATCATCTCGGAGTTGCCGACGGTAGAATGCGCCACGCTTCGTTATCTATGCTCACACCTGAAGGTATTATTGGTAAAAGAAAATGCACTACTTCACAACGTCTCCAACGTATATCTACAGAGCTGAGACATTCACCGCACCCGCCGCTATTTTTCACTTAAAGGACCGCATTAAAAAACAGGACCAATCAGGCGTGTTCATCTTGCACGCTGACGACGGTACATCATGTCATCTAAAGCGATTACCTAAAAATCATCATCGCCATAATAATGCTCCTTCTAAATTCGATCTTTTTCGAATGAACTAAAATAGATAGCTCAAAGAATTGCTTTACATGTGGTAAAAGTGTTGCTTCGAGAAATTAGGCTTATTGGATATAACGTCCGTTTACGCGAGCTACCACTTCGATTCGACAGCTAACAGGTCATTTTGGAAAAGTCCGCAGACTACTTTCCAGTAACAGTTGCTTATAAAGCGATATTGGGCAGTGCAGATTTGTTAAATGTCACTCAAGGATCCTTTACATTAAAAAATTGCAATTTCGAACTTCGAACAAAGAATAAGGTTTTAATCTTCTTTTTTAATCACAACAGATAAAGGTATTCGAAAATAGCTGACCTCCGTTCATATTTCTAACTTTCTTACCTAGGCCATGATAGCTCGTTCCTCTAGCCTAAAAATGGCAGATCAACCATGTCTGTCTCAATTATGACAAAGCACCCTGCGCACACTAATGCATAGATGTAGTACATACACTGTCGCTAAGCAAGCCTTAAAAGAAAGCAGCAGATGTGACAACCTTATCATAAAACTATTGCGTTTGACGGATAAAAGTTAACTTCATGTAAGAATAAACGAACGCCGAGAATATGGACACCACACAGACGAACTATCATTTCAAAGTAGTCATTACAAATTGTGGAGAAGAAATGATATAGGTTAGGCTGTTCGCACGAGTACGAACGTTTCATCGCAGAGTGCATTTGAAAGAAGTATCTAACGCTAATCGTGGCCAATGCAGACTCCCTGGACAATTGTATAACAAGCACATAAGCGGCGAATATTTCTAAATACTGCGGAAAACTCTATATACCATGCGAGAGTATAGTGAGAATAGAGAGAAATAAGTAGTAAGAACCCATCCTACAATTGTACACACTATACACGCTGATACAGCTGTACAAAACACGCGTCCGATACGTAGATTTGCCTCCCAAAAACATTACCTCGCTCCGGCTTCCAAGTACGTTGTATAATTCAATTTCTGAATTAAAGGCAATCGCAGACCGTCACGAGGTAAATTTAATGACCGAAATAAATCTGGCCACGATCTTTGGTCCAACTATACTCTTCAAAGAATCACCAACATCGCGGGGATATCGAGACCCTACCCAAACACCAACAACGTCTCTTGCGGAAACGAATTATAGTCTGACAATAGCGGCGGATCTACTCAACCACTTCTGTTTCCTTTTCGACGTCTCGCAAGAGGTGGGGAGACATTTTGTAACCTTATTGGCACTAATGGTTATTTTCACAGGCCATATTAATATGTGACGAACTTTCCAAATAACCATGATGTAGGTGGTGGCAAAAGAACGTGAGATTCAACGGTTAATGGCCGAACTTCGAGAAGCGAGGGTGGCTCAACGTCCAGCGGGCGATATCCTTGTCGGTGTACACATCTACAACAGGGAGTGGGGTCGTTGTCTAAATATTAAGTTAACTCCATCTATGACTGCCCTAGGGCTATGCCGTTCAGTTAGGGCGCAGCTGAAGCTCGCTGACTTAGCAAACACACTTGCCGTATTTGAGGTGATCTGTGATCAGCAACTCGAGAGACCACTGCACCATTCAGAGGTATCATCAATTTATTCGTTCACAACGTTTCAAAGATGGGTGTTGAATCATCTACAACCATACTTAAGCACCAGTGATAATAATCATATTATTATCCTATTACATAATTACCCTTATTCAGTTCTTGTTTCAGTGTATTAACTAATAACGCATACCTTAAGCGATTACTGTATACAGTACACTTTTATCCTGTTTCTGCGAAATTGCAGTCCGTCTTCCGCGCGGTCCTTCGGTGGACTGACTGGGATACGGAGTTCGCAAAAGGAAACTACCTTCTGGTAAAAAGAAATTATATTTACGACGATGTCATTAATTTCCGAAACAACGTCAAACAACCGCTGGCCAACGCATCGGAGGTAAACTAATGCAAGGTTATACAGAGATACGTTTAGCGTCTAAATAACAACAGCATAGATATTCACAAAAGAAAATACTGTTTGAGATTTGCTCGTTTTATTCTTATGATATAGGGAATTCATTAAGTAGTGTTTTAACATACGCAATCAAGCTATTTTTTAACGGCATTTGCTTTTTATTGCATGCCGACCTGCTTTTGATTATTCTACTTAGGCTCAAGTAACCAATCCTTGAAGTTTTCCTGTTGTTTGGTGATATGCAATGTACAACGAAATTCGTAATCTTACGGCCACCTGTACATATCCCTACAATAGTATACTTTGCAGGTTATTTTTTAAAAACAAGCCAATTGAAACACTCATGGGCCTTTTAATGTTTAGAAGGACATTGCAGTTACAATATTAGTTAAATGCTGTGTTAAATGAGTTGTCAGAAAGTAATTACTTGCCTATTACTGGAATACATTAACAGGTGCCGTTTGCGGAAGCAAGTTCTAAGAAGTTCAATAAAGTTTCTATGGAGTTTGCACGTGCGGCCCTGCAGATCGTCAAGGAGAGAAAGGATAGCAAGGACAAAAGCCTTAAAGAAAAAAGAATTCTTAAGGTAAAGCGAAACTGTCATAAATTACAGCATTATTGAATCAAGGGGCGCGCGTCATTTTGTGTTGCATTGAAACTTTGTTTTGCATCGTTAGCCTCCTATTAACGCGTCGTATGAAATTTCTTATGAATTGACTAATAATAATTATAATTTATAATGAAACATTAGCTACGATTTCCTAACTACTCGTTTGCAAACCTCTGATCGGATAGCAGCTTGGTTGAAAAAAAAACATGTTTTGGCATACATCGTTTCAACTTATCAACACAGATACCGCATCTGATGGTGACTGATTTTAGTGCAGATATAAGAAAAGTATTTCACTTGAATTGGCGCATCTTGCGCCTGTAAGCGATGTAAGTTAGGAATAGAAGTAGATGTTTGGTAGCAGATATCTTGAATGTTTAAAAAGACAACGCGTACTCGGCTTCTTATGGAGTTCACGACCATGGTGATAGTAGCATTAGAGATATCTGAAAACATAAAGGGCGGGTCGTAGGTCAATATAGCACGCCACATGGGCTAAAGCGACCGACGCTTCTGAAAAGTCAAGTTCAAACGCTAGCAGCAAAGGGAATGCAGTTCGTCGGGTTAGTGCCTATAATAATACAAAACATGTCGGAAGCAGCTATCCACAATAAGTTATTCAAGCAACATATAAGGTCTAACATCTCGATTCAACATTTGAATGGTCCGACAATTTCAGGAGTGGCTTGCAGAGAACATCGAAGTCTACGTCGGCGCTGAGCCCAACCGAAAAGCGCCCACAAAATTTTGTCTCTCTTTTCTCGTTAAAAATGAGCAAGTCCGGAGGTAAGTAGCCGAGGTAAAACAATGCGCTGTGTAGCGAATTCGTCTAAAGAAGCATGATATGGATGCACCGTTAAATTATAACGTTACGGATATAGGTGGCTTCGATCATTCCTCTGGGTTAAGTTAGTTTTTCAACAATAAAAATATTTATCCAAGTTCACAAATTTAATATTTACTCTTTTACTGTTCAGAAAGCGCGACCGCCCATTTCTCTGCCATACGATGGCGCTCCAGTCGCAAAGCGCACTAACGTCATGGCTTTCCTCCATTTTGTGCGCACAGCATACATCCCTTATCGCTCCAGACGAAGAAGCACCTGACTTACTATTACTGTAAATGTGATGTCACTAGTATTATTATTCGGAATCTTAATGTTAGTGGTAGCCGCCAACTATTACGCCTTATAGGGATGATAATCTTGTACCCTTTAGCTGACATACTTGTTGAATGGGTATCCGCTGCTTTCCAAATTCACCCTATTGTGTACATACATTCGCGTCGAAATCGCAGTCCATTTATCACAGACGTCTACTAAATAGCTTATAAATAAATGTTGCACTAGAAATAACATCAATGATTCGTTAGTACTAAGAGTCGCGATACGGTTGCGATCAAGTCACTCGGCGAAGAGGAACTTCATGAGGAGTTTTATTAGAAATTAACTTAACATTAACGTATTAGCATAATTCTGTAGAAAGTTGTAACCAGTAACAAACAACAATTTATGGCATAACACCGTGGCCAACCTGCGCGAAGATCCCAATGACGTATATTAAAAATTATCATACCACTACAAACTCTATGACATTTAATCTATTTGTCGTTCAAGTAAGCGTATATTTCCCAACGGTCATCACAAAAATCGAGTTGTCATGAAGATGCTGAGACTTGATACGTTGCTTTGTCGCGATATTACTGTTAGTTACGTATACAGTATTCTTCTTGTATATTGGAATCGGTTGTTACAGTTGAATCGATTATACTCAACAACGCAGAAATTGTACATGCAGTGAGCTCTAGACTACTCGGAATGGAGGAGGTTTCTGTTGTTCTTTTCACATCATGTATAGGTGCAGCATCTCCTCATTGATAATTTGAGCGAAACGGCAATATATAATTTAAGAGAAATTTACAACTTTTCCTTTTGTTCAATTTAAGAGTCCCGAATTTGTACTGGCGAAAGAGACAGAAGTTCAGTTCTAGCGGAAACGATTTTCTTTCTCAAGATAACATTCAAACTTTTGATCTGCTGCATACGTTAGATAGCACTCGCGTTATTCAATAACAAGGTGCTTGAAAATAAAGAATGAGATTGAAACACATTGTTGAATTTCGACATACAACGAAAATACGTAACATGCACACAAGTTTAACACCTGCAGGCAACCTTTTGCAGTAACATGAGACTCCGATGGCATGGATACATCGAATGAGCGGCCATATGTCAGGCCCTTTTATATTCATTACCTATGAATAATGAACTTTATGTTCAAATCAGTGTTAGTTATAACGTAGATATGATGATAGAGCTTACGTTTTACAGAATTGACCAAATTATACACCTGCACAGCAGGAAGCCATTTAACATACTCGTGCGCGCGGTCGTTTATGCTTGGCAAAGATATATAGAAAACATGTACACGTTATGAATGAAGCATTATAATAAACCATGTGTAATATACGGTACCATTTCAATTGCAATGCGCTTAGTATATATATATATATATATATATATATACATATTGGATACAATGCAATCTATATTTATGATCGTTTAAAAAATAAACTTTATAATGCTGTACGTCTACGTAGGTTTTCTAACTTGCAAAATAGGTTACAATAAGTCATAGGTTCATTGAGAGGCCGCCGTGATCGCTTAGTGGGTATTTGCCTGCTGATCTTAGGAACATGTTGTGTCTAGGTGGATCTAGATCCAAACCCAGACATACGCAAATTTCGATTTGTACTGCGGTTAGCTGTCTAATGGAATGCTTAACGGTAATATGGGACGTAAATCTTGAAACATAGACGTGTATGAATCCCTAATAAGCTCAATCAGACCCACTCGGCGTAAATCTTTTAAAGGCACCTGATGTCATATTCAACACTTGACTCCGAAAGTTTACTTGAGTTGTTAAAGCAGTTGAAGTATTATATAAAATGACAACAATTTCACGCTATATTTAAAACTGTGTTGTTAACCCATCGTATTGCATCATTAGTGTCTATGTTTCTAACTTTACAAAAGTATACGCATTGTATGTCGAACCATCATTTTGGATAGTCTATGATTTTTTGCGTAGTATTTATATCTTTAATGTACTTATATATAGGCCTTCGGCTTCGACCGACGTATTAACTGTGCCCGCTACGTTCCCGAAAACGTCAGCCTCTGAAGGATAGGCGTCCATCAAATCAAATAAACTTCGGGGTGTTTTTGTATGTGCACATGACTATGAAAATACACCAGAAGGCTTTTGGGTTTTCTATTTTTGTTTCCTTGTATTTTTTCCTAATTTCCTTGTATTAACGTTATATGTTTAATTAGTTGATTAAATTTTTCCTAAGTAAGATCAATGATCCAAGTTGTTGTAAAAAGCGCAGTCGAATAATGTTCATATGAAAAATCACTGCGAACCTCTTGACTAATACGCGGTGTCTTTTTTTTGGGCAGACGAATTTAACATCCTGCGCTTATAGAAGCTTGTGTTTACCAGAATCTTCGTTCGCTTTAGCATACTTTTGGCAGTGTATGCACTTTGCTTGAAAAAACAAATCTCCAGAAAAATTTGCCAGGTCACAACGAAATGTCTCTGCTTTTCACATCTTCTCAAATAGCCTTAAAAGCATTAAGATGAGTTTCGAGACATTAACGCGAACAATTCGGCCTGCCGCGGAAGCCCTGTGCTCTGAAGTGGTAAACTGTGCTTTGACAGGCATCAACCGGTAAACTTTTCTGTCTAACTTGAACATCCGTACAACCGTTGACCAGTGAGAACTTGGTTTTTAATGTGCTAATATTGAATTGGTGCAAGAATGGCGCTCCAACGTTGACACTCATTCACATCACAATCAGATGGTGCCGAAACGACGTGGGGCTAGGATCTGGTTGGCGCAAACATGTAATTTTCCGTTTTCGAAGGCACTGGGCGTTAAAAAATCGGTACTTCATCCCTAATACCCGTTTTTTTGCCAACATTTTTGTGAGGCCGAGAGCTATACCTCTGTAGGATGTGGGAACTTCCGGTAAGTAGTTTCAGACTAAGAAAACGATATCGTATCAAAATCACTTTCTCTGCTACGATGAAGGTAGCAACCTGGCCAAATTTCGCCGTCCATTACACGCTGGCCAGAAACGTTTCTACTGAATTATAGCTCCGCTTTGACTGGCATATGTTTCTTCGCGAGTCTCACCGAAAATTGCTGGAGGTACACTTGCTTTTAAATTTTTGCCACACGTCAGTCTCTACCGGCGTTAGACGTTCCATTTTTTACCAGCCAGCTTTGCCGGTCCATCTATAGCCAATGGTCAAGAATTGTACCCTGCTAACCTGGCAGTCATATTTGTGTCCTATAAAAAAAAAAACAAATCACTTTCTCATAGTGGAAACATTTTATAAATTGCAAGGTAGAAACTACTTCGCAAAAGGATCTTTGTATGTATGCAAATGCGATATCTGAATATGAAGATAATTTAACAGTTCGTTTATCCCAACAGGCATGCGTTCATCCGCCGATCTTGGCTTTATATTTTTAAAGCAAAACAGCAGAGTCGTTATAGAGCGAAACAGTGCTTTATTTTAAAAACGTAAACAAAAATTAGCTATTATCCGGTATCTTCGCGCTAAATCAAAAGCTCTCTTTTTTTTTACTTAGAGTCAACGTTCTACCTTATTGGCAGTTTTTGTGCGGTTTTCAAAAAATGTGGGGAAGGTTTTCATAGGGCAAACCCTGAATAGGTTTTCGATTTAAAGGACTCAAGAGGCCATTTTCGATATATCTAGATTTTTTTAAATTAAAAATTAAGGAAACCGAAAGGTGTCAATTGGGTCATCTAAATAAGCTTTATCATTTTTTTGAGACTTCCTGGGTATTTTTGCATTTTTTTAGCTGTTTGCTCTTTTCAGGTCTTTATATTTTTCGTATTTTTGGCCTTCTACAAAGCCAAAATCTAACTTCATTGGACTTCGTTGCATGTAGCCTATTTCAGCGATACTCTAACGAGCTTATATCTAACAATATCGCGTAAAATACAGTTAACATTAAAGCGTTATTTGCGGATTGAAGAACCAGTATTTTTGAATGGTCTTATACCTTCAAATTCATTAATATAGTGAATGATGATACTGTACACATATGCTTGGTAAATCTGACTGCTAAGAAAGACACTTCTAAAACATGTAGAAAATTTCGTTGGATTATTTCTTTTTATTCGGATACATCCAAGAAGCATAAGCGTAAATTTCAATTCAGGTGCATATATATACGTGCTCCGTCCTTTTCTTCATATGGTGTACAGCACGCAGCCTGAGATTTCTCAGTTAATTTCTTTTACATTAAACATTTTATGAAAAGGATAAGATCAGATCACGTCATAATCATATTGAAGGATGATGTGTTTCTACACTTCAATAACTTTGTCTGGCACCCAAGTAGACAAGATTGGGCTGTCTTGTTGCCTTCTATTTTATAAAGGACAACGAAGGAAAGTCGTATCAAGATTCGGAGAACTACCCTTATTGTTAATTGACACAACGTACTTCATTAGTTCATGAAGCGTAACCGCAGTAGTAAAAACCTGCCTGATATACCTGGTTCTTTCGTACGTTCATCATATATTTTGCTGTGAATAAAATCTCTATAATAGATCGAATAGAAGGCTTTGACTAATAACAATGACGTTTAATCCATCATCGTATTGTGTCATTTCTATCAATAGAAAATTGCCTTGCTTCTCCACCGCAAGATGGCGCTAGAAACAACAATTCGCAGACCATTATTTGAATTGCGTTTGCATGTTCTTGGTCCGCTCAAATGCTCCTCTGTATGTTCGCTAAATAACAGAACTCGAGTTGGTAAATAGTTAGCAGACGAAGTGAAAGTTTCGAACGTCCTTTCAAGACCCATGTTAATTAAGGCTAACTTTTTTTTAATGAGAACCTACGGCGCAAGAACGAACCAATTTGTGATGCGCGTTCTGTGAAGTTTGTTTTTCTAAACGTAAAAAGTGTTGTTGTAATTTTCCTCCTAAGACAATGTAAGTCTGCGCGACCTGCTTAAAATATCTAATATCGACGTTCGAAAAGCAGTTTGTGTTGTTGAAAATATAGGGGAAGTATGTCTGCCAAAAAAAGCGAAGCTTTAACGGGTCACATTTACGTACGAGAAGTTTGCCCGAATGACGATGATTGCGCGTTTCGAAAGCCACTAGATTTCTGCAATTACTGCATCTCCATATCAGTTGGAGTCGATTACAGCATCTATCTAGTACCTGCCACACTCAGGAAGACCAACATAAATTATAATTTGGCAAAATAGAAACGAGATTGTGGAGCGCGGTTGCAGGTCTGCATTCGTGTGACCACTGATCAGCCATCACGTATAAGCAAGAATAGAAGACACAAGAGTAGAATAAGTACTGCTCATTATTTTTATGCAGTTGTTGGGTAAATCCAGTTCAGTGAAAAGAAATAAAAATTTGTGATAAGTACTTAGCTAACTCTGCGCGATACAATGGTGTTGATCTCAAATGCTAGAAAAATAGTCACACATCTTAGATATGTGCCAGATTTAAGTAGATATACTGGAACGAAAGTAATCAAGCTTAAATTATGTAACAGGTAGTTTGTTCTTTTATTCTGTATTGGAAGAAAAAAGTCTTTTGCGTGGATTTAAGCATCATTGAGATTCACCATTGCAAAAAAAATGTTGATAGTGTATTATGCTCCAAAATGTTTACATAGCTTCTCTTTCATATATAGAATATTTCGGAAACAAATGTTTTAGAGTGTTTTAAAGATAATTATAATTACTAAAATAACTAAACAACGTTTAAAGATCAGATTGATGCCCACGTATTCGCTATACATTTTTCACCAATGCGAACTCCAACCAAAGCTTTTTTTTTTTTAATATACAGGCAGCTTAGTAATAAATATCGATGTCGTTCGATTAGTTTTTTATCAAGGTTTATAGGCTTGATAGTTTTAAGAGAATCCATTATAGGTTATTCTTTTTAAGTCATCAGAGCCACATACCAAAAAGGTTACATGTTTTATAGAAATATTATACTCCTGGAAACAGCTTCTATAAAGCTGTTTCCTAATTTTCAGAAATGAAGTAAGCTTGCATCAAAAAAAAGTTGTGAAGAAATGTATGAAGATTATTGTGAGACCAACTCAATGTCCGAACGTCTCCTAGTTTTTGTATTTGTTTTCTTGAATGCATCATTATTTTGGTACCTCGAACACTTATAAAATAGTATAGGAAGTTGATTCCAAACGCACTGGTGTATTATCCAATAAATTCGCAAAAAGATTAACAAAAAAAATTGTGCCTTTACGATGCCTAGGTTTGCAAAAATTTCTTCCTTTAGTAAAGAAAGAGAAAAGTGCAATATTAAATATTTTAAAAACCATACAAATCATAAATTGATTTTTATAGCATCATCACTCAGCGCCGAGAGATTATCGTGAATATAATAGTATTGCTTGCTTGGCACAGAAAATCGACATATTTTGTCGAAGTCTCAATTAAACAACATAGGACGAACTATGTGTGTCTTAACATTACCTTTTTGCTGGCATCGGTTTTTATTGGATTATGGATGGACTACGAGGTACCCTAGATGTTTTATGATTTCCTGAACGCTGTGGTTTGCTGAAAGCAGCGATCCAATCTAATAAGAGAAGTCTGCGGAGAGTAAAGGACACCAACGGAGTAGCGGCTTGTAGACTTGTGGTCGTGTCTATAGAGCGCATCTCCATGATACAGCAGTGGCTCACGTGTTTGCCTGCTACATTTAAGAACACATGGTGGTCTAGGAATGAACCTGGGCATAGACACTTTTCGTTCCGTGGTAGAAACCAGCCTCACGTAGTAGAACTGGACGTAAAACTTAAAACATTTGAATTATCACAGTGCGCCAATATCTCATGGGCGAATGTGTGTTGGGTGACTAAACGAAGCAGGGCGCATCGATCAATGCGTTTCAATCTGTAAGAGGACGTGCTGGGTGCGATTTTGTATATCTTAAAGTACGGAAGTGAGTTTCCTAGGCATATGGCTCCTAGTACAAAACTTTCTCGATGAGAAGAGTTTACTTATCAATAATGATTAAAGTCATTTTTAAGCTTGTTTTTCCCACAAATCTTCAGGATAGACCGTAACCTAAATTATAGCTGTTTCTTATTAATCATTTTTAAGACTTTATCCCCAACAAGAACATATATTTGAACGCTATCCGTTGCATATGCTGTAAGCGCCGCTCCTGACGAATATGTTTATTCAATAAAACCACCATTTGCCAGAATCACAGCTTCAAACTGAGACTCAGGCTGCTCACAGGCTTGTTCCTAAGATTTTCTTTTAGAAGTATGCAAACACTTTCTTGATAGCGCGAATGAGTAAATCAGCGCTGTCATATCGAGATTAGTTAAACTTACACTTAATAACGCACCATACATAGTGTTTTTTTAATGGACGAAGTAGGTAATAAGCAAATATGTAAACAAGACAAAGATTGTTTTTGTGGCTTAGATTTACGTCGATAAAAAAACTTTGTTTATCAGAGACAACTTGTTGCTTCATCTTCGAGAGACCAGAGAAACGACACCAACTAAGTCTGTTGACTTTATATTTTTTGGCATTCGTAAAACCATAAGGGAGCAATAGAATACGATCTCAGTTTAGTCGATGCGCTTTGTATATATATATTACTAGATGTTTAGGAGTATTGCTTGTGCTGCGATGGCTTCGCAGGTTAAAAGAGAATGCTTGAATACGATGTCCGGAAAAGCATTGGTTCGAATGTACCGATGCGTCTACATGCCTAACGTGCGCTAATAAAAAAAAAGTAGCTAAAGAAGCATGTCGACCGTTTTATGTCATATAGGTTACCTGTCGCTACTCACGGATATATGATGATGAATTGCAGCTTTAAATTTTCTAAATTACTTGCGTACCAATCACGAACGGTCCGAAGCTGTTTTACCGTTTTAATGAATATCCAAACTGCGTATA